TAATCGCGATTAATCGCATCCAAAATAAAAGTTTTTGTGTACATATTATATGTGTGTGTGCTGTGTATATTTATTATTTATATATAAAGAAACACTCATACAGTATATATTAAGAAAATATTTACATGTATATATTTATATTCATATAATTTATATATATAAATATATTTAATATATAAACATAACATATTTTTCTTAAATATGTACATGCATGTGTGTGTATTTATATATACATAATAAATATACACAGTACATAAGAATATTACGTACACAAAAACTTTTATTTTGGATGCGATTAATCGTGATTAATCGTTGCCCAGCACTAATATTAAAAAAATTAACATGCAGGTGTTGCGCCCACAGAACTTTTACTCTGTAATTTTATGCTTGCATATTAATCATCTGCTTCTTATGATTTAAATAGTTATTTCATATCCATTCTTCCTGTAATTTATTATGGAATTTTTATTATATCTTCCAAAATATTTAATAAGCAAACATGCAGGCGTAGCATCCACAGAACTCTGTAATCTATAATTTCATATTTGCACATTCATTTAATTTTCATACTTTAAATATTCATTTTCATATCTCTGTTTATTTTTAAAAAATCTTGTGGTTTTTCAAAAATGTTTTGTTTATTACATTACTCAAAATATTTAATAAACAAACATACAGGTGTAGCACCCACAAAACTATAATTTAACATTTGCATATAAATAATTTAATTCTCATAATTGAAATAGTCATATCTATTAGATATATCTATCAAAAAAACTCCTGCATCAGTTTATTTAAAATAAACTTTTATTTTTATACTATCCAAAATATTTAATAAACAAACATGCAGGTGTAACACCCACAAAACTCAAATCTCTAATTTCTTATTTCCATAATTTCTTATTTTCTTAATGTAATTCACATATTTTAGATATTAATTATCATATCTATTTTTGTTTAAATCTCTTACAGCAATTTTTATACTTGATATCATATCTGTTTTTAATAACAACTCTTGCTTTAATTTAATTCAGAACTGCTATTATACTCGTCTAGTTATTATATTCACTTCATTTATCTTTAAATATGTGCAACTGTCATGTCATGTTGTTTTACAGCAGAGAACACACCACACCAGTTGTAAAGCCCAGCCTTTGATTAAAGAGTTACCCAAACAATATAATCGACCGCTGTTGCGTAAGTCATCCTTAATGTACCAGGAAATGTGTCGATTTTTTTCACTTAACAAGTCTTTTTGAGGAATTTAGCTTGTTTGGATTCCATGCAGGACTACTAATGAGTAATTTTAAGAGCGGACAGCGAGTTCATATTAATTTTGTGCCTAATTTATCACTCTGGTCGCTGTTTCCAAAGATCTGAGCGTATCCTGTGGCCCTGGATGTAGTACAAGAGCGGACTGCAGCTTCAGGCCATTATGTGGTTACTGAACAACCACTGATCATTAACTGTGAAAAATACCCAACATTGTGTCTAAATATTAACAGATGGACGTACACGTTCAGATCTGCCATCCCTCTCTCTCTCTCTCTCTCTCTGTATCGGTTTTACAGTGATCACTAATGTCCTGGCGATGGGACAAGGTCACCTTCCCCTTGGCCCGTAATGAATGCTGGGCACAGAGGAACAGCTTGATTAGGTTCTGTCTGGCCCGCTATTTCAGAGAGCTCAACTAAACAACAGTGACACACACACACAGCACATATCAGCAGGGGTTAGTCACCCAGAGAGGACGCCTCTCAATTTCAATGCAAAATATTAAAATATGCAATCATGAAATGCATACAGTATGCACGCATCAGCCGTTTCCTGGCTTTCCTAACTCATAAAGCATAAAAACATGAAGCATAATGAACAGATTCCAGATGATGGATAGTGGCTTTTTCTTGTTCTTAAAGGAGTGTTCCTAGAGTCAACATGAAATGGCATTCGCAACACATTTTTCTGTCATTATGTGGCTTATTTCTGAGTGAAGCAGGATATTCTGTGAGGGGGGAAAAAGTAGTATGTGAGTTGATTTTAATCATTGGGAATTGATTCAATTCAATTAAAAAACTAAACTTTAATAAAACATTAAATATTGTTATATATTATATTATATTATATTATTAATTGTTGTTGTTGTTGTTAAAATGCAACCCAAAAAACTAATAAAGGCCAAGAAAACCTTTAATAAAACATTACATAAATAAGAATGTGAAAATTATTCAATTTTATTTATTTGTTTGTTTGTTTGTTTGTTTATTTGAATTGATTTGGAATAAATTGTGACAAATCATGCACTGTAAGACCAGGAACATGTACTGAAAAAGTAAATTGTTGTTGTTGTTGTTGTTAAAATGCAACACAAAAGCAAAATAACATCAAAAAACGTATAAAATAAATAAATAAATAATGGATTATGCAATATAATTAAATATATGCAAATGGATATATTTTATATATTTTAATTTACTGTTTTATTCATTGTGAATTTATTTGGAATAACATTAACTGATAAATCATCCACAATAAAAGTAGTTTTTCTTGTTGTTGTTGTTAAACTGCAACACAAAAGTAAATAAATGCAAAAAAAAACACCTTTAATAAAACATTACATAAATAAGATGATTAAATTTGATAGAAGATTTTATTTATTTGTTTGTTTGTTTGAATTGATTTGGAATAAATCATGACAAATCCTCCACTGTAAGACCAGGAACATGTACTGAAAAAGTAAATTGTTGTTGTTGTTGTTGTTGTTGTTAAAATGCAACACAAAAGCAAAATAACATCAAAAACGTATAAATAAATAAATAATGGATTATGCAATATAATTAAATAGATATATGCAAATGGATATATTTTATATATTTTAATTTTCAATTCAATTCAATATTTTAATTTACTGTTTTATTCATTGTGAATTTATTTGGAATAACATTAACTGATAAATCATCCACAATAAAACCAGTTTTTCTTGTTGTTGTTAAACTGCAACACAAAAGTAAATAAATGCAAAAAAAACAACCTTTAATAAAACAAGAAGGAAAGAAGGAAAGAAAGAAAGAAAGAAAGAAAGGACTTGATTCTGTTGTGAAAATGATGAAATTTGATGAGCTTTTGGAATGTTTATTTTCCTGTGTTTCTGTATGATTATTGTGTGTGCTGTAGCTGTGGAAGACCGAACAGTAAACTGAGACACGGGGACGGATCCATAGACGCAGGAGACCGAACCCAACAGTCAGGTACCGCCGCTGAATTAGCATTTAGATGCTTTTCACTTACGATCCATTTTGCTGTTGTGATCTGCGATATTACAGCTGGATCCTGGATTGAATCTGAATTAATATGTAATTGGTGTCTTTACGAGTCTTTCAGAGCTGTCGGTCTGCTCCAACGTGAAATATGACGAGAGGCGTGATCAGGTTTTTTAATAACCTTGCAGACGAGCCGCTGATAATGTCGTCAGACTATGACAGCACCTATGAGACCAACCACAGTGACAGCAGCAACTTTGCACAGAACGAAGACAGAGAAGGTCACAGGAAAGCCTGCGGGACGTTCCCGCTGACCGCTCTCGTCCCACCGGAGGTACAGTAAACACCACAAATTGATTTTTTATAACTGCAATTTAGTTCAGGCAGTTAGTTTTTTTTTCTGTTCAGTGTTGCATGGCTACAAGCAGTAAAAATACACAGTATGAAGAGTTGCATAAAATATGCAGTATGCATATAATATGCATAAAACGTATAATGCACAAAAATACTGCAATAGCATAATAAATAAATAAGAGTTAATGTGCAATTCTCAGGGCATATTTCATCCAGTTAAATAAACTGTCATCAAATTGTCATCAAAACTAAACACTGTAAAATAATATAAAATAATTGTTCAAAAAAATTTTGCAACTTTCTTTCTTTCTTTTAATTGTTTTTAATTACATTTTTTTTGTATACGCTTTAGTATATTGGCCTCCCTGCTAGTATTTTTATGTATTTTTTTTTTTTGATGAAATGATAATGATTAAACAATACATTTTATTAAACTATAAAAATGAGTAACAGTGGATAGTGAATTTTTATTTATTTATTTGTTTTTGTTTTTTATCTTTTTATGCTTAAATACTTTTTATGCATTGTTTTTATATAATTTTGAGGCCGGGATTATTAAATGTTAATGATTAAATGTATTTTATTAAACAATAAAAGTACATAGAACACATTTTCTATTTTTTTATTATATTTGTTATATATTATATTTAATTGTAATTATATTTTATATATGTTTCTTATATAATTAAATTTTTTAGTAAATGTTATTGAATAAACGTGTAAAAAGATTATTATTTAAATTTAGCAATGTTTTTATGTAATTTTGAGGCCGGGATTATTAAATGTTAATGATTAAATGTATTTTATTAAACAATAAAAGTACATAGAACACATTTTCTATTTTTTATTATATTTGTTATATATTATATTTAATTTTAATTATATTTTATATATGTTTCTTATATAATTACATTTTTTTGTAAATTTTATTGAATAAACGTGTAAAAAGATTATTATTTAAATTTAGCAACTTTGTGTACTTTTTATTTGTTAAATATAAGTTGTATAAATGTATAATAATGATGCTGAAAATTCATTTGATCACAGAAATAAATTACATTTTACTATTTATTCAAATATAAAAGTTATTTGATTGTTATTATATCAGCCACACTTTTAGATATTATTAGATATCATTATGTTTTGCATTATTATGTTTTTTGTTTTTTTTTACTTTTTATGCATTTGTTTGTTTAAATGTTGAGGCCTGGATAATTAAATGGATGAAATTTGACAATTATGATTAAATAATACATTTTGTTAAATAATAAAAATGATTGTCAGTGTACAGTGCATATTTTTTATTGTCATATGTTGTATTTTCATCTCATTTTTCTGGTGAGTGTTAGAGGACCTACAAGCAGTAAAAATACACAGTATAAAGTGTTGCATAAAATATGCAGTACATGCATGCAATCTGCAGAAAATATAATGCACAAAAATACGGCAATAGCTTTGTTACGTGCAGTTCTCAGGGTTGTTTGTTCCAGTAAAACTAAACTGGCATCAAATAGTCATCAAAACTAATCACTGAGCATTTGATTTGTTTTCGCTGTGGTTTGATGCCAGACTCTTTTTGTGTTATATGCTGTTTTAACTGCCCTCTGTAGTAGTTTCATATGTGCCACTTGATTTTGTAGTAATTCCAGTTATGTCTAGTGGGTTTTTTGGTGTAAGATGGCACCGTCTGTGATCTGAAATCATTTCTTCTGCAGGATAAGCCCATCTTGGCCCCGGAGCCACTGGTGATGCAGGGCCTGGAGCCCCTCATGAGTCAGATCAACAACTGGAACTTCCCCATCTTCAGTCTGGTGGAGAAAACCAACGGCAGATGCGGCTGTATCCTCAGCCAGGTGACACACTGACATCTAGTGGAGATCAAGAGTACACACACACTGATCAACAAATCAAACAACACATGTACGATCTGACACCAGTGAGGCCAGGATGATTACATTTGACCATTATGATTAAATAATACATTGTATTAAATAATAAAAATGAGTGTCAGTGGAAAGTGCGTGTTTTTTTATTTGTTTATTTTATTTTATTTTTTACTTGAGACCAAGATGATTAAATGACAATTAAATAACACATTTTATTAAACAATAACACGGTGTCAGTGCATTGAGCACATTTTCTATTTTTACAATTATATGTTTAATATATTTTTATTATATAAACTTTTTAGTAAATATTATTGAATAAACAAACTTAAAATAATTGTCCAATAATTCATTTTCTAATGTTTTATTTTTTATTTGTATTTTTTTTACTTTTTATGCATTATATGTTTGTATGTTTGAATATGTTTTATTACATAGAAAAAAATAGTGTCATTGGATAGTACGTTTATTAAATTTATTAAAACTTAAAATTAGTAAAATTATCTCTTTTTTTTGGTGCTTTTTGTGCATTGTTTTTATGTCTACATGTTAAGGCCAGGAAGACTGAATGATAATGATTAAACAATACATTTTATTAAACAATAAATAAAGTGCTAGTGCATAGAGCACCTTTTTTTGTTTTGTATTTATATTTTTATATATTTTTATTATATTAAATGTTTAGTAAATATTATTGAATACACAAGTGTAAAATAGTTGTTCATTAGTGCATGTTTTCTATTTTGTAGTATATTTTTAATTTATTTTATTTTATTATATTACATTTTATTAAATAATAAAAATGAGTTTCATTGGATAGTGTGCATTCTCAATAGTTGAACATTTTGCGTAACATAACAAAAATCGTTAAATATGCAAACATGACAAACACAATGAATATTTGAACATAAGAATAAGTATTTGCATGTATATAAAAACCATGTGTCCATTTGAGAAACCGTAGCATTATGGTTTTGTTTAATTTCAGACATGGATGAGAGGTTTAACTCTTTTCTCTGTGGGTTAGGTGTCTTACCGGTTGTTTGCGGATACGGGACTCTTCGAGACGTTCAGGATTCCGGTGAGGGAGTTCGTGAACTATTTCCACGCTCTGGAGAACGGATACAGGGACATCCCATGTGAGTCCTCGTGCTGCAGGAGACATGTGTACAGAAATATGTTAACAGTGAAATAACTGATGATGTACAACAGATGCTGTGCGCAGGCAGCTTCACCTCCAGAGGAATAAATTGCCCTAAATCATCACTTCTGCTTCTTTGTGGTGTGTTGTATCTCCCTCTAGTGGTAGTTTACCATATTAAACCTCGTCTTCCTCCGCAGATCACAACAGGATTCATGCCACAGACGTCCTCCATGCGGTTTGGTACCTCACGACTCAGCCTGTGCCTGGTTTACCTACACTGACATCACTGAGTGACTCGGGTAAGAATCACACTTCATCACTGTCTGGATACGTTACAATAGAAATCACTTCATGCCTGTAATTCTAAAGTATAGATTTAGTTTGATTACTACTTTTTATATAGACTAGATAAGTGTATTTTATATGTTTATATGTTCTCTGTTTATATATGTAACACTATGGTCCTGTGAAGGCATCAGTGTTATTTCAGTATCATTGAGATGCTATTATAGTTTTTATTCCTATTTAACTAAGTTTGTATATTTATGTTGTCATTTAAATTTTACGTAAAGTTTAAGTAATTTTGTGTTTTTGTCTTTTTTTTTTTTTTTGTAGTTTTTTTAAGTATAAATCTATAGAACTATATATTTAGTCATTTTTATTTAAATTTTAGTACATCCCGTTATACTAAATTAATGTTGCATTGCCAACTAGCTGAAATAAAAGCTTTTAAATTTGTTATTTTGAGCTTTTATTTTTATATTTTTCATTTTCATTTAAATTTGAGTTAGTTTTAGTTATTTTGTTTTGTGGCTTTTGTTTATATATATATATATATATATATATATTCCAGTTTTAGATATTTTACTATAAGTTGAGAAGTGCTGCCTTGCCAACTAGATGAAATAAAAAGCTTTTTATATATTTGTTTTTGTAATTTGTTTGTAGTTTTTGTCGAATTACTAAAACAATTTTAAATGAATAACAATAATATAACTATTTATGATGAATACCTATTATAAAGTGTGAACTAATCTGCAGTTTTCTTTTCATATGCATATATCAGTGCTCATTTATATGTACACTGCAAATTTTTATTTTATTTATTTATTGATTGATTTTTTAAAGTTTTTTGAAGTATTATTGGAATACGATTAAAAAGAAATACCATTTCAGTCTTTCTACTTCAAAATGTAACATTTCATTCAATATGTTACTTGCCATTTCTTTGTCATTATTCAGTAAAGTAGATCATATGGCAAATTTATTTCAGTATTTAATTGTAAGAGAGATGATTATGAAAACTAAATTATGAGTGTTTTACATTAAAAACATTGGCATAGAAACGATTTTCACTCAGATAAATTTTACAAACAATTACATTAAATTAAATGTGAACTGAAATAGTATTTTATTGTAAAACATACTCCTTTATTTACAATTTGAAATCAATTCTTACAGTGAAGGTTCAAACAAACAAAATAAACAAAACAAAAAAAGATAAACAAAATATAATGCTGCAACAGTGTTTGAAGGCATATAAAGATTGTTAATGGCTCTGTCTGTGTTTAGACTCTGACGGTGGACTCGCTCTCGGCCACACAAGGTACCTGATGTCCAGGACGTATCCTGCAGAGGAGGGTCACGGCTGTCTGTCGGGCCTCATCCCCGCTCTGGAGCTGATGGCGCTCTACGTAGCAGCCGCCATGCATGACTACGACCATCCCGGCAGGACCAACGCCTTCTTGGTGGCCACCAGTGCTCCTCAGGTGACACATCACAGCCGTTCTGCTTTCAGTCCAGGCCATGGTTTTCCCTTGAAGTGTTTACAAGGAGCACTGATTTCCTCGTATTGTAATATTAAGCACACCTCACGCTTTCTTAGGAATCATAGAGGTACTTATACTAATTCAGAGGTAGAATAAATTACTAAAGTACCTTCTATAATAATTAATAATAATGTATGTGATTTAATCAAATCAAGAACCGAAGAAGACTGGTGTTTGCCTTATATTTAAAAATACTGTGAAGTATAGAAGCTTTTACAAATTTGACAGGTGTAATGAACTACTATGTGTATACGTATACATAATAATTAATTACATTTATACATATATGTAGATGCACATGCTGCATTTATTTGATCAAAAATACATTTAAAAACAGTAAAACTGTGAAATATTATTACAGTTTGAAATAACTATTTTCTATTTGAATGTATATTAAAATGTAATTTATTGCTGTGATCAAAGCTGAATTTTCAGCATCATTACTCCAGTCTTTAGTGTCACATGATCATTCTAATATGCTAATTTGCTGCTCAGTTATTATTGGTAATCAGTTATTATTACTGCTTAATATTTTGTGGAATTTGTTTTTTATTTTTCAGAATTCTTTGATGAATAGAACATTCATAAGAACAGCATTTATTTGAAATAGAATCCTTTGTAACATTATAAATGTTTTACTGTCACTTTTGATGAATTGAATGCATCCTTGCTGAATAAAAGCATTCTTTTTTTTTTTTAAACACACAACACACAACCCAAACATTTCAATAGTAATATATCATTGTTTCTGTATAAATATAGTAAAGTGTTTTTAAAATTGATAATAATCAGAAATGTTTCTTTAACAGCAAATCAGCATATTAGAATGATTTCTGAAGGATCATGTTGTGACACTAAAGACTGGAGTAATGATGCTGAAAAGTCATTTGATCAGAAATAAATTGCATTTTACTATATATTCAAATATAAAACAGTTATTTGAAATTGTAATAATATTTCATAATATTACTGTTTTTGCTGTATTTTGATCAAATAAATGAAGCCTTGGTGAGCAGTAGAGTGGTCTTTAAAAACATCAAAAATTCTTAATTATTCCACACTTAGAATAATTAGAGTAATTATACAAACCAGTAGAATGTGTTTGTATGTGTGTGTATATATATATATATATATATATACTGGAAGCAGTGTGATATTTATGATATTACTATACACAGCTGTTGTTTTCGAGGTTCAGTGATTGAACACAGTGTTCTGGGGCTTTGAAACATGTGCAGCGCCATACAACTCTTTTGTGTCTTTGCAGGCCGTTCTTTATAATGACCGTTCGGTGCTGGAGAATCATCACGCTGCGTCCGCTTGGAATCTGTTCATGTCGCGGCCCGAGTACAACTTTCTGGCCAGTCTGGACCACATGGACTTCAAACGCTTTCGCTTCCTGGTCATCGAGGCCATCCTGGCCACCGACCTCAAGAAACACTTCGACTTTCTGGCTGAATTCAACGCTAAGGTGAGCACCTCTGATATCAGATATACTTGTATAGACCAACAAATGCTGTGCATTTTATTTATGTATGTATGTATTTATGTATGTATTTTGTGTTTGCAGGTGGGAGATGATGGATGCTCGGGCATTGATTGGACGAACGAGAATGATCGTCTGTTGGTCTGTCAGATGTGTATTAAGTTAGCGGATATAAACGGTCCGTTGAAAAGCAAGGAGCTTCATTTGCAGTGGACGGAAGGCATCGTCAATGAGTTTTATGAACAGGTCAGTGTTGCTCTTGGATGCATGTTTATGTCTGAAGTCATTTTTGAGCTGTTCGGTCACAGCAGAGACAAACAGGAAGCTCTCACGATGACTAAGTGCCTGGCAACCGCACCTCGCGCTCGTAGTAAGAGACTGTAATCATGCGCACGCGTAACCCTTACAGCAGCTACGCCACATCTTGCTATCATTCACATCGAGGGGATGGAGAGGATGGCACGGATACGCTGTTGCCTGGCAACCGTCCACATCCTCCTCAAGTGCGGTGCTGAAGGAACACGTTCACAGCTGTAATGAGAATGTAGGGCAAAAAGGAAGCAAAGTTTTACAGCGGAAAACTGTTACAGTCTGCTGGAAATGATGGACAACATTTGTTGGCAAAACAAGCCATTCAGTGATGATAAACGCTGATATTTGGCCAATTAAAATTGTCATGAAATCACTTGATTCTATATACTTTGTTAATACATGTTGGTGCATGTTATTCTAAAGAATAAAATGATTGTAGTCATTCATCAAAACATTATTTTTTTGTTTAGCTGACGTCATCAATCCTTGTCTTTTCCCTTTTCAACCTCTCATCTTTTACTGTTGGATAAAACTGAATCCTGCGCTACATTTTGTCCATTTAAAGTCCTTTAGCAACCAGAAATATGTCAAATTAGAAGAGTAAAATGCAAACGCCTCTCCTTTTTTGATTTACGTTATTATTTACACTGCACTAAAAAAAAAAAAAATCTAGTATTTTTGTCTTGTTTTCCAGTACAAATATCTCAACCTTTTTAATATAAGATACATTTACTTGAGGAGCAAGATGACATACGACATTTTAAGTCTTGTTTTCTGAAAAACTTTAGTGAGATTATGGTAAAAAAATAAACAGACAAATAAACTTAATTCAAGTGGAATCAATTTTTCTGACCCCATTGGCGGATATTTTTTCTTATTTTAAGCATAAACATAAACTTCAGAAAAGTTATTAAATAAGTAAATAAATAAAAAATAATCATGCATTTTATATATATATATATATATATATATAGAGAGAGAGAGAGAGAGAGAGAGAGATGATTATGTATATCTTATATATACTTTATATATCACATTATATATCACAATTGCAAGATTATATCTCATAAATCCCCTCAGAATTACCAGTTTATATTTCACAATTCTGAGTTTATTTCTCGCAATTCTGCGTCTATATCTTGCAATTCTGTTTATGTCTCACAATTCTCCGTTTATATCTCAGATTTTACTTAATATCTCACAATTCTGCTTTATATCTCACAGTTTATATCTCATAATTTTGCTTCATGTCTCGCAATTCAGCGCTTATATCTCGCAATTCTGAGTTTATATCTCACAATTCGGAATTGAGTTTATGCTTAAAACAAACAAACAAAAAAGCATCTTTCAGTGGTTTCAAAAAACAAGATTTGTTCTTATTTTAAGCATAAAATTTTCATATTTTCATAAAACACTTTAAGACGTTATATCTATATCGTAAATATATCTATAAGTAAATGTATTTTGGGTTTATATATATATATATATATATATATATATATATATAAAATGGAAAACAAGACAAAAATACTAAGAAAGACACTTGCTCTCGTCAATGATAAAATACCACTTTTACTATTTTCAAATGCTAAATGTTGTGTACATGTTTATTTTAGAAATGTTTACATTTAACCTAATTAAAATGCATTAATTATTAGCATAATATTGGCCAAACCAGTAGATTGACCACTGCGGTACATCATGCACGCTTGTTCAACCAGTCATGATTTGGTATCTTCCGTTAGCGTTTCTCAAAGAGTTAATGGCTTGTTTGGATGCCGGCGATGAGTAATAAAACACTGCGTCTATTATTGTGAGGAACACAGAGTGAGGATGACCCAGTTGTGTCAGGACCCTGTCACAGAGCTACAGAGCGTCATATGACCACCCCTGGCCATATTCAGCGCATTTCAAAAGGGACCAGAAATTATATGCTTCAAAGGAGCCTGTTTTCTCCCCTCCCTGTTTCGTTTCTTGAATGATTAATTTCTCCAGCACTTCTGAGTAGCACCTGACAGAACACAGCGCACATACATTACTGCCCTCTGACGACATCACCGCGCGGTTGCCATGGCAACAAAAGACCTTGCCTGTTATTACGCCGATCTCATTGTTTATTTCCAGGTACTGCGAAGTAGGGTTTATATATATATATATATATATATATATATATATATAAAATGGAAAACAAGACAAAAATACTAAGAAAGACACTTGCTCTCGTCAATGATAAAATACCACTTTTACTATTTTCAAATGCTAAATGTTGTGTACATGTTTATTTTAGAAATGTTTACATTTAACCTAATTAAAATGCATTAATTATTAGCATAATATTGGCCAAACCAGTAGATTGACCACTGCGGTACATCATGCACGCTTGTTCAACCAGTCATGATTTGGTATCTTCCGTTAGCGTTTCTCAAAGAGTTAATGGCTTGTTTGGATGCCGGCGATGAGTAATAAAACACTGCGTCTATTATTGTGAGGAACACAGAGTGAGGATGACCCAGTTGTGTCAGGACCCTGTCACAGAGCTACAGAGCGTCATATGACCACCCCTGGCCATATTCAGCGCATTTCAAAAGGGACCAGAAATTATATGCTTCAAAGGAGCCTGCTTTTCCCCTCCCTGTTTCGTTTCTTGAATGATTCATTTCTCCAGCACTTCTGAGTAGCACCTGACAGAACACAGCGCACATACATTACTGCCCTCTGACGACATCACCGCGCGGTTGCCATGGCAACAAAAGACCTTGCCTGTTATTACGCCGATCTCATTGTTTATTTCCAGGTACTGCGAAGTATATGTTTTCACACCGACTATATGAGGTTCTTCCGATCTCTGATTCCTTACTTGTTTCGATACTGTAATCTGAAATAAATAATAAAAAGGCCAGACCTCGCGTGGCTGGGTGCATTTCCCCCGTCCATGGGAAGGCTGACCTAGTTTTATAGCAGTCGAATGTCTGTGAAGTATGTTTCTCTCCTGAACTGGAAAAATCCAATCAAGTGTGTGACTCTTCAGCTGTGCTTGAATATACTGAGCATACTGTTCCCTGCTTGGTAATATCGTTATTTGTTTAATGTAATAGATGAGTATAAAATAGCTGCTGCATAAATAGAGTTTTCTTTGAAAATGTGAATAAAAATGCTTCGAATCAGGCATCAGTCAGATTAGATTAATCTGCACTATGTGGGGCATTTATGAATCGAAATTGAAATGCATATTTGCAGCATCGCTGAATGCTTTTCTTTTCTCAGGATGAATTTTAATGTGAAATGATGTGATACTGATTTCATATGCTTGCTAATATGAGGAATGCTGTCTGGTGACATCAGTTCCCATGATGCTCTTCATCCAAATACTACTGTAGAAGGAAGTGCAGATAAAGGACAATTTTAGTTTCAGTTGATTTCATTTGATTCCAGAAGATTTCATTTATAGTATGGATGCTTGTTTCCGCCACGGGATAAAAATATTAAAAAGGTAATTGCCACTTTTATCTCACAATTCAGACTTTGTTGGAATTTAAACTTGCAATTCTGTAAAAAAAATTATAATAATAGTCAGAATTGCAAGATGTCAATTTAGAATTCTGACTCTTTTTTTTTCACAATTTCTATATAAAAAAAAAAGATATCAAATTTAAAGTTCATATCTCACAAAAAGTGACGTGTGAGGTTAAAATTTCCCATTTTGATTTCCATCACAATCTGTAGATCAGGACACGCGCATTATTTCACGTAAATTATAATCACAGTCTTTTATTATTGCCAAATAAAACCTGACTGAACCATTTCACAAAGACTTCGGTTAAACTGAATTTTTGGAGAAAAAAAATTTGACTTTGTTTTTATCTCATAATTCAGACTTTGTTTCTCACAATTCTGCATTTAAATCTCACAATTCTGAATTTATTTCTTGCAATTCTGAGTTTATGTCTCGCACTTCTGTTTATGTCCTGCAATTCTGTATTTAAATCTCACAATTCTGAGTTTATATCTCGCAATTCTGAATTCTGAAACAGAGTCAAAATTGTGAGGCATTTACCTTTTTTAAAAACAAATGTTTTATCCTGTGGTGGAAACAGGCTTCCATGTTATAGCAACCAAAAAGGATTTCAAATGTTTTTCCACTTAGTCAATATGAAACAACATTTGTAAACCATTTTACTTCTATAATGTGGGCAGACCGTGATTTTTCTATTAGAAATGGTCCAAAATGAATTGATTGAATCCTAAAAATGAGTGTTCTGTTGCAGAGGTTGCAGCCTAAAAGTCTGTTCACATCAAGGATGATAACTATAATGATAAATATAATGTTTTAATAATCATTCAAATTCTTAAAGAATAGGTAAGTCCACACCATAACCATAACGACAAAGAGAAACGATATCATTGGAATCACTTTCAGAATGATTTCTTCCATCTGATGAACGATAAAAACATTTACAACCAATCAGAATCCATCCTGCTTTAAAGAGCTTGAGCATTTAAAGCAGGGGTGTCAAACTCAATTCCTGGAGGGCCACAGCCCTGCAGAGTTTAGCTCCAACCCTAATTAAACACACCTGATCCAGCTAATCAAGTCCTTCAGGCTCAATTGAAAACTACATGTTTTGTGTGTTGGAGCAGGGTTGGAGCTAAACTCTGCAGGGCTGCGGCCCTCCACTGAAGTTTGACAGCCCTGATTTAAAGCAACAGGTGACAAAACCGCAGCACGTGATTATAGTAAACAGAACGATATTGTGCATTGGTCTGGATGCTAATATAGTTATCTGATTATAGTTATCACTCTTGGTGTGAACGGGACTTTACACATATATGTTTACAAGTGTTTTTTTTTCTTTTCTTTCTGGTGTTTCAGGGTGATGAAGAGTCCAGTTTGGGCCTTCCCATCAGCCCCTTCATGGACCGCTCAGCACCGCAGTTGGCCAAACTGCAGGAGTCCTTCATCACACACATCGTGGGGCCTCTCTGCAGCTCATACGATTCAGCCGCTCTCATGCCCGGCCACTGGGTCGACCCTCTGCCCAAAGAGGGCGAGGAGGCTGAGGAAGAGACAGATGAAGAGGAGGAGGAAGACGCACCGGAGGAAGACACCTCTTCCAGCTCCGAACTTTCCCGTGAGTTCACGTTTTTCTCCTCAAACTTTATATCAAGTACAAAATCTGGTCCAAATTGCATTGAGGTAGGAGCGTGGACTCAGTTGTAGATTCTTTCCTCATTTAGACCGAACTGAATTGAAGCTGAAAATGAACACAAAGTGACGTACGGGAAGTTCACAATCTGTAGATCAGGACACACTTATTTGACGTAAATTATGCAGTATTTCTCTGCAAAAACAAAAACTAATGACATCACTTAAAGGCAGGGTAAGCGATTTCTGGTAGCCAATGTTGATATTTGAAATCACCAAAAC